ATATACAGATAGGACAGTGTCCATCAGTAAATCTCATAGCAGATCACTCCCATTATTCCCATGTTAGAGATGGTCAAACTGAGGCACAGGGCAGCAAAGTGATTTGTCAGAAGCAGCAATACAACCCTATTTTCTGAGTCCCAGACCATTGCTTTATCCACTAGGCCACACTGCCTCGCTATGACATTGGTCCATCACCCTCATGACTCTGGCCTGTCATTACCGTGTATATTTTGCAACTGAAGTCAAAGCAGTCAAACTTATAGCCTGGAGACCAGGATACCTCATAGAATCCCAGGGCTGGAAGAGACTGCAAGAGGTCATCGAGTCCAACCCCCTGCCCAAAGCAGGACCAACCCCAACTAAATCATCCCAGCCAGGGCTTTGTCAAGCCAGGACTTAAAAACCTCTAGGGATGGAGATTCCACCCCCGCCTAGGTAACCCATCCCAGTGCTTCACCACTCTCCTAGTGAAATAGTTTTTCCTAATATCCAACCTAGCCCTCCCCCACTGCAACTTGAGACCATTGCTCCTTGTTCTGTCATCCGTCACTACTGAGCACAGCCTCTCTCCATCCTCTTTGGGACTCCCCTTCAGGCTGCTCTCAAATCCCCCCTCACTCTTCTGTAGCCTAAACAAACCCAAATCCCTCAGCCTCTCCTCGTAGGTGATGTGCTCCAGCGCCCTAATCATTTTGGTCACCCTCTGCTGGACCCTCTCCAATGCGTCCACATCCTCTCTGTAGTGGGGGGCCCAGAACTGGACGCAATACTTCAGATGTGGCCTCACCAGTGTGAGATAAAGGGGCACTGGCGTACCAGAGAGGAAAATTGGTCCTGTAGGCCCAGACCTTAACACCATACTCCTGTAAAACTCCAACCAGGGAATTCAGTGGGTGAGTTGTTGGAGTAATGGCTTTGGCCCAGGCCTTGCTGCCAATCTTTCCAGTGTGGGAGAGGGTGTCTCCTCATAGGATCTCTCAGAATGACCAGTAGGGGGCAGCATTGGTTTTTTATTTTCCCTACTATGTTTTTAAAGCCAAAGGGGATAGTTAGCCCAACCACCAGACAGAACTCAACTTAACCAAGGCAGAGACACTGGCCTGAGCTGAGGGATCATCATAACTAACCACGCTCTGGCTCTTCCTGCATCAGTCCCCCACACTGCAGAACCATTGACATTTCCTGGAACTCCTTTGGTTTGGAGTATTTCATCGATGCTTCTCTATAGGGACGTCCTTCTGCAATGCCTGGCTCATCTTCCAGCCATGCTTCTTTCACGGGCAAGGATACTGTGGAGCAGAGCACGGAATGGTTTTCATTTGTCATCTGCTTTCCCTCTCCACAGCTCCTTGCACTTTGAATGAAGCCAAAAAGAATCTGTTTGCTTTTCGTTAGCAGCAGCTTCCTCATATGGGTCATGAGCCATCCAAAGGCTGCCCTCTCGGTGGCTGCCCCATCAGGCTTTGCAAGGGAATCAGCATTAGACTTTGTCATGGCTTGGCTAGGAAGCCTCCAAAGAAAACTCAGAATTGGCAGGAAGTGGTTGGAGTGAGTCAGTGAGCCGGGAGTTAGTCAGCCCTGAATCACTGGCCCTGTGCACTGGAGTTGGTGTCTTTTGTCTGAGACATAATGCACCGGCCCCTGGCGCTGCTCATGAAAGAACCAAGGTTTTGTTGTTTTTTTACAAGAGCAAAAGTGCTGAGCAGGGTGCTCTATCCAAATCCCTGTTTATTTAAGGAACTGCATTTTGCTTCTCTAAAATTCCCCTGGCAGACACAGGACTAGTCACGTTGATTTGTATGGAGGCAGCACCGGGAAGCAGAGGCTGTGAGAGCGCTCTGCTGTGCTAGCACTGCACAGACACATCAGGAGACACAGTCCTGGCCCCAGGGAGTCCATCCAACAGTGCGTGGGCGGGTTTGCCATACGCAGGAAGTGCATCATTTGGTGGGTGGGGAGGAGAGGAAGAATCTAACCCCCACCCCCCTCCCCAAACAAGCCAATCTCACTAGCACATCCCTTCTTTTTTCCACTAGTTCTAGGTCTGCTTCTATGAGGCGATGAGCTTCCATTAAAGTCAAAGGGAACTGAGAGACCTTTGCAGCTGGCAGGATCACAGACTACAGGCCTGCCTCCAGAAAGCCTTCTGGGTGCGATGTCGTGGGCCTTTGCAGGAGGGGGCTCCACATTCGTCACTTTCAAAGTGTAAGCCAGTCTCTAGGGTTGAACGGTTGGAGTTGCAGCAGGGCAGGCCAATCAACAGGAAGGGAATGTGGGTGAGAAGCTGCAGACATCTGGATCTGAGTCTGCTAGCTAACCACCAGCTTCACACACCCTGCCAGTTCCCCAGAGCTGTAAACAGGAGCGATGGAGCCTGTGCCAGGCAATGGAAAAAAGCATCAAAATCCAGCTCCCTTGGGGCAGGACTTCTTTAGGGCTTGAAGGCCTGAGTGCCGCAGCACAACTCAGTGGGGATGTGGGTCAGTAATGCATGGAATATATATAGCACCAGGGCACATAGTGTTACAAATACAAGCGATGGCCAAAAATGCCAATCTAGACAGGGTAGTCTCCTCAGCCCTAGTCTGGAAAATGGTACAAACACACCGGAGGAGACACTAGCACGGGCTGGCAGTGAGCTGAACGAAGGAGAGAAAATCACAGAATCCTAGGGCTGGAAGAGACCTCAGGAGGGCATCGAGTCCAACCCCCAGAACAGGGCCAGTCCCAAATAACTGACTTCAACACCTATTGTGAGTCACAACAGCAGAAAACACAACCCTTCCCTAGGAGCCTGGATTACTGGAAACCCAAATACCCAGTAACAACATGCGACTGTTGAAGACATTACCGTGCCGAGATGGTGGTTCGACTCTTCTGGAGGTCCCAACAGTTCAAGCACTAGTGTAGACAAGGCACTGATAACGCCCAGCATTCTGACCACTGAGTATCTATATATTTTAGAAATGTGCATCGATCTGTTTGTCCATCTGTGAGGGTACGTCTAAGCAGCAGGGCTATTTCGGGACACCAGAGGCACACCATAGTAGCTACCTTACGTCTTTTAAACGTGCCCATTATTTTGAAATATTTTTCGAAATAACGGGCATGCTATTTTGGCATTCGGATGTCTCAAAATAGCACGTTATTTCCAAATCTGGCGCTGTGTAGACATGCCAAATTTCAAAATAAGCTATTCTGAAATACAATGGAAATAAGATCCGCAATTTGTGTAGTGGAAATTGTGTCTCTTATTTCGAGTTTAGGGTGCTGTGTAGACACACCCTGAGTCTGTTTGTTCTTGGACTCCTTTAAATGGGAAGAGCTAGAACCATCAAATTTGGTAGGCAGCTTCCTTTTACTATAATTTAAAGCAAGGTCAGGCTTTGACTGTGACACGAAAATGAGAAGTGCTGGGAATGGGACTGTTTTCCTTAATATGGAAAGGCAGGAAGCACAGAGAGGGGGTGCGATACTGAGAATGGACCCTGAAAGCAGTGAGCCGGCAGGGGAGAGCAGAGTGACCACTGGGGGCAGCCGCATCACCAGTGGCCAGCAGGACTGGAGCTTCGCCATCTTGAAAAGGCCCCAGGTGGCCGGGGGGTTCAGGGGTGACAGAAGGTCCCTGGAGGCTGAGGAGGCTGGAAGTAAGAAAAGGCCCCGCCAGTCGGGGGGAGAGAAAGCTCCACCATATGGGACCTCACTCTTGCACCCCCCCTCCACATTCCCAAGGCCCTGCCCTGACTCCTGCATCCCCATCACCACCAACAGCCCCTGCCCTGAAGGACCTAGGCAATGCCAGGTAAGTCTTCTAGTACGATTTAATGAAGAGAATACTTGCCTCTTGTATAGCACTTTACATCAGCAGGTCTCCAAATGTGTCACAAAGCATCATTATTATCATTTTACAGATGGGAAAATTGAAGCATTGAGCAATGTGGGGACATGCCCAAGGTCACCCAGAGAGCCATTGGCAGAGACAGGAAGAGACACCCCAGGTCACTTGAAGCCCCAGGGTTAGATAGGCAGGTGACCCATCTGGGTTTTTTGGGTGGTTTCTCCCCATGCAGAACTCAGACAAAACTGGGCATCGCATCATGCTATCCAGCGTTGGATGGGGATGCCATCTTGCAGAGCATGCCACATTGTGGCTCCCACCAGCGTGACGATTCCAGGAATGCGTGAGTGGCCACCCTAGCATCAGATGACTTGGTGCTTCAACTGCCCATAGACACTGGGAACCTTGTCCCGGAAGAAGCTCACAGTTACTCCAGTTCAGGTTTCACAGCAGGAGTCACTCCAGGTAATGAAGCAGGAGCGCTAGCTGTGGGGCTCACAGAAACCCGACCATTTCTAAACAGCACCTTTATTCCAGGAATGCGTGAGTGGCCACCCTAGCATCAGATGACTTGGTGCTTCAACTGCCCATAGACACTGGGAACCTTGTCCCGGAAGAAGCTCACAGTTACTCCAGTTCAGGTTTCACAGCAGGAGTCACTCCAGGTAATGAAGCAGGAGCGCTAGCTGTGGGGCTCACAGAAACCCGACCATTTCTAAACAGCACCTTTGCAGTGCAAGGAAACAGCTGGAACCGCCTGCCCGCTAGTTGTGCAATGGAAAAACCTCTCCCAGCAGGGAGGCTCCGTCCTTTTATTTTTGTACCTTTGTTTAAAAGTCACGTCCCAAAAAAACAACCTGAAGTTCTCCTTGCGAGTCCCTTATAAAGGAAGCTGCATCTCCCCCCAGAGCTGGGCTTTCACTGCAGAGCATCGCTCGCCAGGCTGCAGGCCCTCCGCTGCTTTTTCCGTCAGCATTTCATCTATATAAGGCAGAATCATCTCCTTCTCTGGAGCCCTCCCCCCCCACTTTGTTCTCATATCCCAAACTCCAGTGTCCCACAGCTGGGCTGCTGCCACACGCTTCAGCATTCTTTTGCCTTGTATGGCCAAATCCTTGGGGGTGGGTGGGAACAATTTAGTTAAACTCCATTCTCCATTGGCTGCCTTTGCCATATGACCCAGCTCCTTCCAGCCAGGGAGATTAAAACAGCTAGTTAATTTCTTCTATTTGCAGGAGTCAGAAACGCCTTTGGGATCTCTGGGTTTTAACTGGTTCTGACACAGGTAAGGGCTTATTCCATTGATTCACTTTCCAGGTGGTGTGGTTTCCGGGGGCAGCCAAAGTGTGTCACAGATGAAATCAGAGGGTGTGGGAAGATTCCCAGAAAACTGATCACTTACATTTTTCAGTCTCAAGTTATAAGCTCCCCACAGTTTTCAGTTAGTGGACCAAGAGCAGAGCTCCGTAGCATCAGAAACTCTCAGGGAAAGAAGTGCAAACCAGTCAAGAATACCCTGGCTGCTGAAATAGATTCTGATCTCCTGTAATGGGTTGTGTGAGTACTTCTCCTCCACCACAGGAAGGGGGTTTCTGGCAGAGGGTTACTGGTGCTTTTAGCATTTCATTATAGAAAAGGAAAGAAAGTTGGAGTCAGATAAGAAGGCTGCCGGCTGTGCTGTCAGGAGTTACATGGGAGGAAATTCGTTTGTGCCTTGGCTAATTGTTTATCAGTCTAGGGAGCTAAATGTGCATGGAAGGAAATGAAATAAACCAATGTCTGAGTTCCTATGCAGCTGGCATGGCCTGGGACGTGCTCCACACCCCAGAACTGAGCCATCATCAGGGGATGGGAGCTTGAGGAGTGCATACACTTTGCTGGTTGTCTTCTCACCATGCCAGTTGCCAGTAGAGAGATTTGCATTCCAGGCTGTCCTGTCTGAGACTGCCTAGATCCACGTTCCAGCTGCTTAACCTCTCACCTTTCCTCAGGCAAGACGCTGGAGCAGGGCGTGTTCTTGGGGGCAGGTGTATGGTGTGGCGATGCGCTGCTGTGGGGTGTTCACCTACCAACACTGCTTATGGCAGCAAAGAAGCTGGGCAGGCGTGCCAAGGGAGTGAGATCAGCCAGGTGAACCCACCCAGCCTTGTCACTGCTGGGATGTGACAGAGGGGAGACAGTGGCAGTAACAGGCAGCAGAGTCCTCCAGACAGTCCCAGTGTGTGAGTGAAGGTTGCACAGCCGGGCTCCGTGGCCATAGCAGGAAAGAGAAGAGCAGTAGATCACTGACAGGCTGTGCTCTCCCGTGGGGTTTCCTAGTGACCATGGAGCCCTTAGTTAGTCAAGGGAGCTTCTCCCAGGAAGTGTTAATCTAGCTGTCAACTGAGCTGTCCAAGGGGGCCTGGATGGGCGGTGTCCGGAGCACACGGCAATGCACTTAACTGAACTGGGCCTTTCCGCCTGCTTGGAGCTCACTGTTGGGGCTTGCCTCTGCGTTTCTGGGGCGAGATTCGTTTTGGTCTGGAATGCAGTTTTCTCCCGTGGCCCTTTGCATCCGGCACAAGACAAGACAAACATGCACGTTGCCTTCTCTTGGGCAAGCCCAAAGTCCCCTCAGCGATGTGCTCGGTGATCTATTGTGCCACCTGAAGCAATACATTTTTTTCAGGAAGAAAACCTTCATTTACCTCTCTCTTGTTCCCTCAGCCCCAGTACCTGGTCTACACATGAAACTTAGGTCGACCTAGTGACATTGCTCAAGGCTCTGAAAAACTTTGCTTGCTGGTTAGGTCGACCTAACCTCCTGTGTAGACACAGTTAGGTCAATGGAAGGATTTTTCCATCAATTAACTGAGCTGTCACCGCTTGAGGGAGTAGATTTACTGCAACCCCTTTCCATCTCCATAGCAAGCGCCTAGGAGCTCTTGTAGTGTCCACAGCCCTGGGTAACTTTTGTCCTGTTCAGACAGTACCCAGCAGAACCTGAGATCTGGCTGGCTTCCTAGTCCCAGATGAGTCCTCCAGTGAGCCTCTTGCTGGGTGTCTGCATGCGGGAGTGTTGGAAGGGTGTTAAAATAGTGCCGGGAAGGCTCTTAAACGGGTAACCCTCGGCGCAAGAGGTGGCAGGGGCAGCATTCTCCGGTGCGTGGTGCCCTGGAGGACCGTCACTGGTTACCACAGATTGCTGTGTTTCCCGGGGCATTTACATTCTTTACCCGTCACTCTTGGCGTGCAGTGTGGCCAGTGGGCAGAGTTAAACACCTCACTATGGTGCTCAATTTGTGCCAGAGCTTGGCACTTCAGAGCCCAGCCCCTCTGGGCTTGCAATAGCAGTGATGGAAGTAAAAGAGTTGCTTGCACCCCAGCGTCTCTTTCATTACAAATGAAGCACTGACCCACATCATGGTCCTCTGCCATGTGCCGGGGCCAGGTTCCCCTCGTGGCCATGGCCCAGAATTCCTTCTCGTAAGGAACAAAAGTCCAGTTCAGGGTCTTCTGCATGGCCAAGAGAAGGGCACCAAAGGCCCCTCCCTTCAACAGGTAAAACCCACAGGTGGAAGGCAATTTCCGGTTGCTGGGAGCAGAGTGGCCACTAGCCCCCAGCCACCCACTGCTCCCACCGGCTGCACTCAGACCTTCGCTAGGTGGCCACAGGAATATGGCTCCGGTTCTTGGCTCCCAACGGTCTTGCCCAGGGTTGGCGCCATGGAGGCACAGAAAAGACAGGGTCCCTTCCCTCCATATTTAGAAAGAATTAGCCTTAGCCAGATGCCGTCTGCACAGCTGATACTGCGCAGGGGCAGAGGGGAGCTGCTCGTTATGGAGCCAACCCAGGAAAAGCCCAGCTGGAGTCCGCATGTGACATCCCACTCAAGGATAACAGACAGCAAGCGGCACCGCTGGGCTTCCATTCTCCAAGGATCCCCAAGCGAGGGAGCTGGCTGTGTTACCCTGGGATGAGTCCCTGATGGTTTCTGCCCTGCGACGCTCCCTGCATCAGGGACGATCATGCCTTCTGAACACAGTGGCTACGTCTACACTGGCCCCTTTTCCGGAAGGGGCATGTTAATTTCAGAGATTGTAATAGGGAAATCCGCAGGGGATTTAAATATCCCCCGCGGCATTTAAATAAAAATGTCCGCCGCTTTTTTCCGGCTTGTAGAAAAGCCTGAAAAGAGCGTCTACACTGGCCCCTACTTTGAAGTAGGAATAAGAGCCTCCGGAAAAGGGCGCTTTTTCCGGAGGATCGGGGCCAGTGTAGACGCTCTTTTCCGGCTTTTCTAAAAGCCGGAAAAAAGCGGCGGACATTTTTATTTAAATGCCGCGGGGGATATTTAAATCCCCCGCGGATTTCCCTATTACGATCTCTGAAATTAACATGCCCCTTCCGGAAAAGGGGCCAATGTAGAAGAGCCCAGTGTGAATGTGGATCCTTCACACTCGGGAAAGCTTTGACAAGCGTATTATTGTATCAGCAACCCCCTTAATCTGCCCTGAGTCTCTTTCCCCAAGTGGTGCTGGCAGCCTGCACACGGATTAGCAACCTTTGTAGACTCATAGACTCGTAGACTTTAAGGTCAGAAGGGACCATTATGATCATCTAGTCTGACCCCCTGCACAGTGCAGGCCACAGAATCTCACCCACCCCTCCTAGAATAATCCTCTCACCTATATCTCGGATACTGAAGCCTTCAAATACTTTGAAGGTCCCAAGATGCAGAGAATCCTCCAGCTGTGATCTGTGCCCCATGCTACAGAGGAAGGCGAAAAACCTCCAGGGTCTCTGCCAATCTACCCTGGAGGAAAATTCCTTCCCAACCCCAAATATGGCGATCAGCTAAACCCTGATCATGTGGGCAAGACTCACCAGCCAGACACCCAGAAAGTTCTCAATAGTAACTCCTATCATCCCTCCATTGACCTATTTCCCACTGAGAATGAATGGTCAATTAGTTACCAAGATCATGTTATCTCATCAAACCATCCCCTTCATAAACCCATCTAGTTTAATCTTGAAACCAGATAGATCTTTTGCCCCCACTACTTCCCTTGGAAGGCCGTTCCAGAACCTCACTCCTCTAATGGTTAGAAACCTTCGTCTAATCTTAAGTCTAAACTTCCTACTAGCCAACTTATATCCCTTTACATCATCAGTGCAGCCTTCACAGGAGTAATTCCTCTCCCATCGCTGGGCGGGAGGCTGCCACGGCCCCGTTTTACTGCGCCCCGGGGAGGGGACGTGCCCTGACCTGGGCTACACAGCGAGTGAGGATTAGCACTTGGGGGTCCAGCTGCTTGGTCCTGTACTCCTCCCACGGGGCCATGTAGCCCGCTTTGAATGAACGCCACCAGTGCAGCGCCAGGGTAGCAGTGGCTGGCTAAGCACTGCGGGTACAGACAACCCTGTGGTCTAGAGCTACGCTGAGCCGTTAAGACGACTTGGTGTTAAAACCACCAGTGGCACCCACTGGGCCACCTACCTGGGGCTTTCGATGCTGCCCACGCTGCTGGAGCTGAGCCAGGGCTGGCAGTAGTGGGAAAACTTAAAAAACAGCAAATAGTCCTGCAGCACCTTAAAGACTAACCAAACATGTCGATGGTACCATGAGTGTTCGTGGGTACAACCCACCTCAGGTGTCATCTGAAGAAGTGGGTTGCGCCCACGAAAGCTCATGAACCCATCGACATGTTTCGTTAGTCTCTAAGGATATGTCTAGACTATCTGGCTCCGTCGATGGAGCCATGTAGATGAAGTTTCTAGACATAGGGAAAAGAAGCGGCGATGTAAAGAATCGCCGCTTCATTTACATCAAAATGGCTGCCACGCTGTGCCGATCAGCTGTTTGGCGGCACAGCGCGGGAGTCTGGTAGTCTCACTCAGCTCCCCTCTGAAGTAGTGGAAAAGGATGGCAACGTTTCTCCAGTGGAGACAAGGCTTGAGGGAGTCCAGTCCAGCCCCGACTGCCTTTCCTTCTCCTCTTATCAGGGCAGAGGACAGGAAGCAGCTTAATTACTTCTTCTGCCCCTCCTGTCTTTGTGGATGTGTCTGAGCCCAAAACCTCCAGGGAGATCCCAGGGGACCCCTACACCTGACTGCAAATCTCCAACTGCTTTCATGACAGGGGGTGGCAGCTATGGAGCTACAATATACCCAGAGGAGGGGACAACAGGCCACATCAGAGTCTATTGACAGGCCTCTTGAAACAATGGCTCTCAGAGGTGTGAACTCCCCATTCAGTTCAATGACAGGCTAACACTGAAGCTCTCTTATTCACTTTACCTCTA